CCGTGCAAAGGGAAGGACGTCGAGCCGGCAGCAAAGGCGCGAACACGAGCATTGGCGTAGACGCGCACGGTCGAGACTCAAGAACCCCGCAGGGTGGTGGCGAGGACTATGAGGTTCGGACTAGACAACGCGGGTCTCATGTGAAGGGGCGGGTACGCGCGAGAGGAGCTTGCACGATCACAAAGACACGCGTGTAAAGAGGCTACATGAGCCCTAGGTGTGCGAGGCGTATGAGCATAGCGCGTATGCGATCGAGCCCGGGAGTTGGCAACGGGTCGCGCGAGGAAGCACGTGGGGGAGTGCGTGGGCGTGATGCACACGGGGTGGAACGACGGCAAGATGACGAGGCCTTTGCGATGGGTCCGGGTGGCTCGCGGAGGACGACTAGCGATTGGGACGACCACGCGATAGGCGATTAGGACATGGGGCGCGATTGGCGAACCAGCGGTTGGGGCGAGGTTCACGTGCTGACCACTCGCGAGCAAGCCGACGCGCGAAAGTGGGAGCGCGGGCGTGGCGTGTGGGATGCTGGCGGCAACGCGCGGGACGCGGAGGAGAGTGAGTCCTCGGAGGACTAGGAGTCGCGCGACGGCTAGGATTTCGGATGGCGTGCGACGCAAGAAGACCGAGATCCTTCTAGAAGGCCAAAGGCCAATTACCTTAGATTATTAGGACTTTTTGGCTAGGTATTTTATATTTTGGTAAGTCTTATATTAGTAGATATTTAGTTACATTAAGACTTTATTTATTTCCATGAAATAGGAATTCTAGTTAGCGTAGGATTAGATCTATTTAGCATCTATAAATACTACCTCTTGTCATTCAAATTAAATGATTGAAGAAGTTAATGAAAACCGAACATATGTTCAAAAATCTCGTGTGTTTATTCCTGTGAGTTTACATAGAGATCATGTTAGAAATAGGACCAACATCCTATTTTCTACACAAATCGCGAAGTACGAAGGCATCAGTGTGCGTATTAGCAACCTATCGCTTAGAAACCAAGACGTCGGAGCGGGGTTCAAAGCAAACGAGTTGGTGAGACACACGATCCTTCATCAGTGTCACTCAGAGCCGGTCCTGAAAATTATTAGGCCCTAGACCAAATATATTAAACGATACCCTTATTATTTTTAAATAATGCCCTTAATATTTTGATAAAAAAAGAATAGACTGAAGAATAAGACCACCAAAATAACAAACTATATATCTTTCACCTTAATGATTTTTATTATAAAAAATATTAAGTAGCTTTTCTAAAAAATAAAACCAAAAACAGTCAACTGATTAGAACTTTTACTGAAAATGTGTTGCTATCACTTTTACGATTGAATTATATGTGCACTCATAGTGACAATATTTATGTCGAGAAATTTAGAGTGATTCAGTCGAAAAAATAATATTAAAATTATACAAAATTATTAATATATTATAATAATTTAATTCAAAAAATTCTAAAATATGAAAAAAAAGAGATTAGAAGCCTAATTTTGTGAAAAGAAATAAAGCAAAAAAGAAATAAAACAATTATTTTTAAAGATTAAACCATATAAAAAAACATTTTATATATGCATATACATATACACACAATTGGTGCCCCTAAAAATATTGGACCCTAGGCGGTCGCCCTAGTGGCCCTACCCCAGGGTCGACACTGGTGTCACCTTTGAGCATTTAGGAACTAGGCAAGAACCTGAATAGATTTAAGATACGAAAAAATGTGACTAAGAGAAGCTCTCACAATGGTCTGTCGAGTGTGGATGTTAATAATTACCTGCACGAGTTGGTGCATAGTATAGTTAGCTCAGAGTCGGGAGTCATCTTTCCACCTGTCCGTCTCCTCGCAAGGGAAAATTGAGAGGAGGTATGTCTCTTGGAGTTGGGGGTCATTGTTGAGGGCCTATTGGGTGGGCAGGCTGCTAAAGAGACGGGGAGTCTTGAAGGACCTCCCTTCTCCTTAGGGTGTTTTTAGGAATTTTTTTAAAAAAATTCCTATTATGATTCACAATATCATAACAAATGATATAAATTAATAGAATAAAAAAACAAAAATATACAATATTCAAATTATACAAAAAAATAAAATAATATTGATGAAATTAAAAGTTATATAATAATTTATATTTTAATTTCATAATAATGTATAATGCAATCTTAATAAAACCGCACAAAGTGCGAAAAGAAAGCAGCCAAAAGCTGAATAGTACAACCAGAGGCTATAAAACTGGGAGGCAGATCCGAAGATTATCTAGAACCGTCTAGCAACGCTAGAATGACAAACTCACAACTACACTAAAACAACTAACACAACCAAAAACTGAAACAACTAAAAAGGCCCCAACAGGATAATGCCCGAGTATAGGATCCCAACAGGATAATAAGTTTACACGCGGGCTTACAGAGGCCAAATGGCCCAAACAAAAAACACAAGCACAAAAACATAGAAAACAAAATAAGACAAAGGGTCCTAAAACCACACAAAACAAACACTGAAAAGATAATAGAAAAACACACGAGCCCTCCCTCTACAGTAAATCCTAACCAGACTAACAGCCACCAAATCAACCCAGGGGGATCTAACAGCATGAGAAGAGCGACCCCTCCACTGCCAAACTGCCTAGCTAAATCGAAACTCATACCATGAATCCCACCCAAAGCCAACTCTCCCAACGCTAGAAAACATCGAGAAAGCTCCCAACACCGCCAGACCGAGCCCCCTAATACCACTAGCGGACTCCGATAGAACAGTGAGCACCCCGGAACCTAGAGAACCGGGGAAAGAGGAGCTGTCTCAACGCTTCAGGCCCAGTCCCACCATCCGGAAGGCACAAAGACGCCTCAGCCATAAAAGAACCCAACCCCGAACCGCACGCACCAAACCCTGCCTCCCCAGATTAGTCGCAGCCACAGAGCTCTGCCAAACTTCGGAGAGAACAGAGAAAGCGCAGAGCTCCGCCAGTCGCAGGCAAAAGAAAACTGAAACAAGAACGACAAGAAGAGGAAACTCACCCTCAATCAAGACCGGCGAACCCAAATTCCAACCAGTCGTCAACGAAAAGCTCGCCGCCTACAACCACCATTCCGCCAGCGAAAAGGAACAGTGCAGACCGACAGACCCCAGCATACCTCGGCGACCGGAAAAATGAACCAAGAAGTCCATCCGAGTTGTAGAAGACGAGTTTGGAGAGAGGCCGCCTGAGAAGCCCATGACGCTCTGACCCAAGAAGACGAACAGCTAGAGCCGCCTCGACCCGAACCCATCGCACCGCAACCCATGGACCCTCCACCGCATCGAGTAGGCCTGCGATTGCAAACCCTAATCCACCTGCCGGAGAAGGCGAATTGGATTTGGCGACCACAAAAACCACCCGCACCCGTGGCGAGCAGGGTCGCAGCATCTGGGAAGGGCCGGGCACCGGGGAACGACTACCAGCAAAGCGGAAGGCCGAGAGGAAGGCGACGATTCCGGATTATTATCGGCGAGAGAGAAGGGAAATTGGGGATCGGCCTTTAGAGAGAAGGCGTCACTTTTTAGTTCATCGTAATAAAAATATGTAGTTAATCTTTTTCATATAACTCTTGACTATGCTATTTGCCACAAATTTTTAACTTTATCCTAACTTATTTAGAAATTGAAATAATATATCGTAACAAAGTATGAGTAAGAGAAAATAGATAGAGAAGTATTATGTGAGTATTATTTATTGATGGTATTTGAATATGCTAAATTTTCATTATCTTTAGTTATAAACAAGATCTAAAATAACAACAATTTTATAACGAATAAAAAATAAATATATAAATTATATAGTAAATTATTATATATCATAAAATAAAAAAAATAATTATTACTATTCAAAATTAATTTTATACTAATGAATATACATGCAATTTATAATTATTGCGCACTAATCCTACGGGTTACCTACTAGTAGAAAATGTAAAAGATAACGTTTGGTAGATAGCGGATTGAAGATAAATTAGCGAATTGGACTTAATTGAGAGGTTTGACCCGTAAAATCCGGTATGAGCTTGTTTGGTAAATAGCTTATTTGATAAGTTTTTTGGGCCCAAAACTCTAACTTAGAAAAAGCTCATTAGAGCAGCGTTTTGGGAATAGAGGATTCACAAAAAAACTTTTTAAAAAATCATTTACTTGGAACTTTTAAATTTGTCTTATTTATTTTACAATCTATATTGGTTTATGGTGCTAATAAATAATAATATGTCATCCATATGATTAATTTATCTAGAAAAATGTAAAATTCATAACTTCTTCATCACGTGTTAGTAAATTTAGAAAAAAAAAATAGTATTTTTATAAATTGCCAACTAGAGAATATTAAATGTTTTAATATATTATTATTAGAAGAATACACCCTAAATAATAAAATGTCCTTATTGGTCATTTTGCAATGTCAAACAGCTATAAGCTTTCAGCTATTTACCAAACACTCATTTAAAAACCGCTAATGCAATCCGCTGGTCAAATCAACTAATATAATCTGTTATCTGCTATCCGCTGATCGCCAAACAAGACCAAGATGAATAAATATTGAAAAATGACTTACTCATTTATCTAACTTCATTAACTTTTCCTATTTGTAAATAGGAACTTGATATCAGATTAAAAACACAATCCATATAAAAAAAGAAAACAATTTCGTAAAAATACGAATGTGGTGGAANCTTTATATACAAATAGACCTGTATACTGACAAAACGGGAGACGTGAAACACACACACTGGCGCTCCCGAATTCAACGCCCAAACAAACATCGAAATTCATTCGTGCAAACGAGACACATTACATTCTATTTTAGTATTATCGCCATCAGAGTAAGTTAACCCCACCGCGTAAAACGTGTTGCGCTACCCAATATTCCAATCCCACCCACCCCTTCCCAAAAAAAAAAACACCTCAAATGGCAAAGAAAGAAAAATCACCCATCCCTCTTCTGCATTTGAGGCGGACAGAAAAAGACGCTCGGTGATCAGAAATGAGGCTTTGGAAGCGGGCCTCGGGCGCGGTGAAGGACCAGAACAGCCTATGGCAGGCCAGCCTGTCCCGACGCACCGCCCTCCGCAACCCCGATATCCAGAAGGCCGTTATCCGCGCCACCACCCACCAGGACCTCTCCTTGGACTCCCGCCACGTGGACCGCGTGTGCGACTGGGTCCGCCTCTCCCCTTCCAACCTAAAGCCCGTCCTCTGGTCCCTCTCCCGCCGCCTCGAGCGCACCCGCAGCTGGCCCGTGGCCCTCAAGGGCCTCCATCTCCTCCACAGCCTCCTCAACACCAACATCCCCTCCGTCCGCCGAATCGGCCGCCTCCCCTTCGACCTCTCCGCGTTCTCCGACTCATCCCACTCCCGACCCTCCAAGTCCTGGCCCTTCACTTCCTTGGTGCGCGCATACTTCGCCTTCCTCGACCACAAGTCCAGCGTCGTCTTCCACTGCTATATCACCAATGACGGCGGCTTCTCCATCGCGCGCGAGCTCGATCTGCTGCAGAAACTCCAGGCGCTGGTGGATCTGCTGATGCAGATCAAACCCCAGATCTCGGCCTCGGCCTCGGCCTCACTCGTGCTCCAAGTCATGGACACTGTTATCATCGAGATCTACAGTCTCTATAGCCAGATTTGCCGGGGGATTGCCCTCGTTCTCATCAATATATATGCCGGTGGGAAGGCGGAAGCGGCCGTTGCACTCGGCATCGTCAAGAAGGCGACTCAGCAAGGGGAGGACCTCACCTTCTACTTGGAGTTCTGTCACCAGATTGGAGTTCTTAATGTTACTGAATTCCCTGTCATTGATCGTATCCCGGACGAGGGCATTCGGGAGCTCGAGCAGATAATCAACAACTTTGACGACAAATTACCGAACGTGCATCATCAAACGGAGTTGATTGTCGTCAGGGAGCCCGAAGAAGCAGTTACGGGTAGTAGTGTTGGTGGGCTGAGGACGATAATCACCGATGATTGGGAGAAGTTTGACGAGGATTTGGGGGCGGCCAAGAATCCTTTCGGGACACCTCTTGTTGTGAAGCAGGAGCCACCAGATTTGATCACCTTCTTGTAGCTGTATATCCATAACAGACGAGGTCTCGGATGGGGTGAAAAATTTGGGTTTTTTTTCTTTTTCTTTCTTTTTTTTTTCCTTATGTTTGTTGGTTGGCGCGCGGTTCTTCCCAGATTTTTGTGATTTTGAGTTTCTAAGGTATACATATATACATTTGTACAAAAAAGAAAAATGAAGATATATATTGACTTTCTTGGTATTTAATTAAATATAATAATAGTATGAAAACTAAACGGGAAAATTTCAAAACTAGTCCCACAGGTATAGAGGGTGAAGAATGAAGATATTGACTTTCTTGGATGCCAGCGTGTAAAAAATATAAGCCACGTATGCGCCACGTGGCATTCCGGGCCGGAAATAGTAAATCCGATGAAAAAGTCCTACTTTTGATCATTTTTTAAAAGTTGTGGAACTATTCATATTTTCTATATTCCGTCGAGACCAAAATTGTCACCCCTATACCTGTGGGACTAATTTTAAATTTTTCCCAAAACTAAACTATATATTTAGGATTATTGGGTGTAAGAATTTATGGTGTAATTTTTCAAACCCTTAATGCATCATGGGTAGGTTTTTACTTTTTACCACTCTTCAATACTTACTTTTTACATTAGAGTGCACACACATATATGTAGACAAGCATGTAGTGATTTGGCTTGGATTTTGGATGAATCTCATAAGTCACACATATGATATTCGATCATGTGGTCGTTAGATACAATTGACTTCCAATCTGCAGGCTTCAGTATGTCGATGTGTCTACATCGTTGTACCGTCTTCTTTGTTGAATTTCCCGTTCGGGACCAAGGGAGTAGCTACTGGCTTGCAGTCGTCCTTCTTGAACTTCTTTAATGGATTATCAGTATATTACTTCTTTGAGATAAATAACCCTTTTTCTCCTTCTTATACCTTAATGTCGAGAAAATAGCGTATTTGACCAAAGTCAATCATCTCAAAGGTTTCATTATGTCTTCTTTAAAATCCTTAATCATCTCTTCATTTTTTTCCCATATAGATAAAATCATCAACATATAGAGAAACAATGAGCAAGTTGTCATTACCTTGAGACTTGGCGTAGAATGTTGGCTTCATTTTGCTTCTTTTGAATCCTTGATTAATGAAATAATTACCAATTCAGTTGTACCAGGCACGTGGGGATTGTTTCAATCCATAAAGCACTTTCTTTAGTTTTAGAACTTTATTGTCTTATCCTTTTGCCACAAACCTTTGAGGTTGTTCGACTTAGATATCTTCTTTCAGGTAGCCATTTAAAAATGTTGACTTGACATCAAGCATGTATTGATTTTCCATTTCTTCTGAGCTCAAGTGCAATTAGAGCTCTTATAATATCCAAACGATCAACTGGAGTAAATATCTCGTTATAGTCGATCTCAGACAGCTGCAAGTACCCTTTAGCAAATAGTCATGCTTTATGTTTTAGAACTGAGCCATCTGGGTTAAGCTTCGCCTGTAAACCCACTTTAACTTCATTAACGCGCGTCTTTGATTTTTGGTAGATAGATTAACTCCCAAGTTTTATTCGTCTCGATCATCTAATTAAATCTCTTCTTCCATGGCTTTTACCTATTCCTTTTTCTTGACTGATGCATCAAAGATTTCTGGTTCCATCTTGAAAAATTTACTTGTTTATGCACTTTATGACCTACAAGAAATTACATGTATCATGACGAAATTCATTTGATGAAAAAAAAAAAATTGTCACCTTTGATTGTGTTATGGTGACGAACTTGGAAATTTGTCACTACATCATTATCTACTGCGACGACTACTACTTTCGTCATCATATAATTTGATTTTGCTACATCATTGTACTTTACATGACAATACATCTAAATTTGTCACTTTTATATAATATGTGACGAAATTCAATGTGACAAAAAAAATTCCGTCGCTTTTTGTTGTTTTTATAATAATTCTTCTGAATTATCGTCATTATAAAATTTTGTATTGTGACGATAGATTAGAGTACATCTAAATTCGTCACAATAATACATATTATGACGAAATTCAATGCAACGAAATAAATGTCATCATTTTTAATGATATTTAAAAATGACCCTTACGAGTAATTCGTCATATATACTTGTGTCTTGTGAGGATACATTACAATACATCTAAAATTTGATACTTGATACTTCAGAATTGGGATTTATATTTTGGTTGAGGACATAAATGCTTATTATCTGATAATGGATTATGACTTGAATTAAAAATTTTGGTGTTTATTGAAAGTAAAATTTTCTTAAGTTAGTGTTGATAATTTTCAAGTTTTTGGTAGTGCTGAATTCTAAGTAAAAAATTTATAATGTGAAAAATTAAATCAAAACTTTAGAATTTCAAACTTAAGATTAGAAAGCGCTACTGTATCCAGGCTAATAAATTTTGCTCAATAGGAAAACATTAACATCGAAATTATTGACGATGTCCACGAGCATTTTTTGTTCTATAGCTTATGTTTTGGAAATCAATTCAGATCTTCATCTACCCAAACGCAAAATGCATTAGGACTTAAATTTTGCGTCTGAACATTCAACTTTGTGATCCAGTCCTTTTGCTTTGGCAAAATGGGTTACAAAAAGAAAAACTACTTTCTATTTATTTTTTAATTGTAATATACTAAAACACTAATTTCATAAAAATAGATATTATAATATTTAAAATAATGAAAATCATGTTTTTCATTTAATATTATAATGTTTACAATCATGGTGTAAAGGATATATATTATTTATGATATTTTATTTTATATGTAGAAATATTTTAGTTGTTCATATTATAAAATAATTTTATTCTATAAATTAAATAATTATTTAATATAAATTGTATATTATTTTTTGAATTTAAACATTATAATTAATTTTATTACATAAATTGCTAATAGAATTTAAAATAATAATGTGGTATAATTTGTAATGTTGTAAAATATGTGGGTAATATAGAAATGTTGTAAAAGCTGGTGAAAAAACAATATTCCGAGAACATTCTTTTGGAGTTGAGAATGAGTTTTTCAGTGAATGAATTAATGAAAATAAATTTGAAAATGAAAGTTTTGATTGAAAAATGGCCCAAACTCATTTTGGTAAAATCACCTATTAATCTAATATTTGTCTCCAAGGGGAAAAATATATTAAGAAAAATGACAAGATATAGACAAACAATTATCTACCTTCTTATATAATAAGAAAACTGGAGGGTGCATCTGACCTTGACACGTGGCGTCATAGAAAGCCAGATAAAGAGCCTCCTGTCTTTCCTTTGTTCGGTTCTTTGGTGCATCTTTTTTTATTTGATTCATTTTTTTTGTCTTATGGTATAATGGTAATTTAACTCATGTGGTTGTATTCTTTCTTATGATCACACTATTTAAAAAGATTACTAAATTTGAGATCAATTTGTAGATACCTTGGTTGCTCGGTTCTAATTATCGGGAGATATACCTGAAAAGGACTTGGGGCCTAAGAAACATTAAAGGTGATAATTTTTTATTCTACTAATTTTAATAAATATTATATATTAAACCTCAAGAGATTAATCATATATAGTTTTTTCCTTCTTAGTTGTTTCAATTTTTTATTTATTTATTTATTATCATTTTCTCCTTCACACGCATTTTCATATCTATTAATTGGTGTGAATCAATATATTATATCTTGTGTAGGCATTAGAATTTGCATGCAACAAGTAACATCAAAACAAAGATTCATTTACAAAAGTAATAGACGTAGGCTCACCAATAGTAGTTGTTTTATCAAATAAAGTGGTTAATCGATGTATATAATATGTATGGGTTGCTATTATTGTTTGTATTTAAGGTTGATATATTGAAAAAAGTTTGGTTGTGGTGTGGTGTTCATGGTATTATTGTCTTCCATTTTGGCATTTTTGTTATTATATTAATATTTTAGGCCTTAAAATTCTATTATTAGTGGTGGTGTGCGATTCTTTAGGCCTTCATCCATACATTATAATTTATACTGAAATTCTGAGTTTTGCTACAAATTTATAATTTATGCCTCTTTTTTGGCATGTCATGAAATGTATACATTTTCCAGTGAACATTTTATTTGTCTACAGTCCTCATCGTGTAGTGTTTGGAAGAATATAACGCATCATATGATGACGCCCAGTTGTGGGAATGGAGCTAAACTCTTAACCATATCTATATATATATATATAAAGAGGTTGTTGGAAAAATACATTAATCAAAAGTTTGACCAAATAAATATAATGTTTGACTTACTATTAATGGAAAGTTCAAAAAAATACATGTGAATCTTTAGTAATAAAATCTTAATCATATTTTTTTGGTAACTAATTTGGAGATTATTATGGCAAAATTTGAATCCTATTTTTTCCATATCATATTTTATTTTTTTTACCAAAATTTAAATCATATATTTTTTGGTAACAAATTTGGACATTCTTATGCGAAAAATGTGTCAAATATTTATGAAAACAATTCTAAATACAAATTAACTTAAGAACTGTACAAATTGGATACAAATTTTGGAAACAAATAGTTGATTCTTAACTAATTCTTCTAATCTTATTGAATAATTTTTTCTTTCAAAAAAATGTGTGTAAATTGGATAAAACCACGTGCAATTTATATTTTAGAATAAAACTGATATTTGGACGGGATGTACATTCAAAATTGTGTCCACATTAATTTTTTAGTAACAAAAGCGGTTCATCTTTGATATTGAAAAATTAAAAAAAATCTTAAAATATCCTTAAATATTTAACTTATTTGAGATCAAGATTTGTTATGTCTTTTTAAGATTAATTATGATTTAAAAGAAAAAAACATTATACAAAATTTCACTCTAAATCTCACATTCACACTTAAGATTTCATAGTATTCCTCTAGAATTTGATCATCTTAAAAGTCTCAAATCTTAAAAAATCTCAAAGTGGCACTCAAATTCCTAAACGAATACATATTATTTACCTATATCGTCAATTTATAATTATTATTT